CTGCAGCATGCAAGGGGTCAGACCAGATGATCATAATGGTCCCTTCTGACCTTAAAGTCTATGAGTCTATGAGTACTGTAATACCGACCTTTTCAAGAGTTATTTGCCTGAACTGTGTATGGGTTAAAATAGTTTTTCTGTCAGTCTCTCCAATGATTTTATTGTCCAAAACAACTAAAAAAGAATTATAAAAAATCGTAAAGGAACATTCTACCTTTTGGACCAGGATCTCCAGGAAATCCAGTCCCTGAAAATCCTGGAGCACCATCAGACCCAGGTAATCCCAAATCACCATGTTGTCCTCTAGATCCAACATTACCTACCAGAAGAAAACAAACTCTCAGATATTTTGCCATAGATCTTCTGCATTTAGCAATTTTGTGTTTGCCACCTTATCATACCCCATAACGATGTAGTCAATTGGTTTAGTAGAACTCAGACACCATTTTTACTCCTCACTCTAACACTTTCTTCCAGGTGAGTTTTTTCCAGATAAAATGCTAAACGTCAATCACAGGGGCATGAGTCTGCAAGTCAGGCATATGCAATGCCTTCTGTTATGTGCACAGGTCTGGGATGCATGTGTGTAGCTATGTGCATATACAAATCTTTGACTTGCATGTTCTTATTGACCACATATGAACATGCATTGTGTGTGTCTGGGGGGTGGGATAGCTGAGGATTCCCCTATGCTGTTTAGGGGCTGCTTTAAGGTCCCTTTGTGCCATGGGAGCAATGCAAAGGGGCTTTAAGATGGACAAGAATCTGGACCCACAGTCTTTGAAATCATTTTGTGTAACCTATAAAGCATAACATTTTATAAAAAAGTAACAGTGGACCAAAAACCCCAGCAACAATATAGAACTATGTTACATAACAAACACTTAAAACAAAAAAGCTAGAAGCTTTATTACAAATCTGTTCTTTCCAGCAAGCTCAGAAACAGTGGGTGAGGTTCTGTGCTACGCTTCTTTCTGGTGTAGCACAGAACTCCCAGTCCAGGGCGTGGAGGCGGGGGGAAAGAGGGATGGCCAAAGGTGGCTCAATTACTGTCTTCAATTACTGCCTTCTCTGGGGGCTGGAGCAGCCTCAGTGTAATTCAGACAGTGTTGGGAACCAATCTAAATTATAGCAGCCTCCCCAGGCTGCCTTATGAATGGCAACACTGCCCAGAATCTCCACAGCACTAAGTGTTCCAGACACCCCCAGACTTCTTGCCCCCACCTATGCCCCCTACACCAGGGCTTGCAAGGGGATCCTCGGAAGGCAATCTTATGGCTGTCTCTACAGTGCCAGCGCTGAGGGAATTCACTCCCCCAGAACTTTTAGGGTACCTGTACACTCCTTTGGCCCTTTTACCCAGCATAAAGAAGCCAGAGTGGGGGTTAGAATTTCATGCAGAATCTCTCTGATGTGCTTAATTTTATTGCATTTAACTTAGAAGATGCTCTCACCCATTGCTCCTGGGGGTCCTGGTAAACCCTCTGGCCCCCGAGGTCCTGGTGGTCCAGGTATTGGATTTACTGTACCAAGTTCTCCTTTTGGACCTTTAGAAAGTATATATAACAAAAGGTTAAGGAGGTTTGTGGAGATATAGTGTGTGCTCTTGTGCTTTTTAAAAACAATATTCATGGAAAATTCTGTTCAGTTAAAAAATACTGTGTTGCACAGTTTCTACAGCTTAGATGCTCCAACAAGCCCATAGAAATGGCTACATAACAATTATCCCCGAGACACTTCTTTAAATATATTAGAACGTATGGAATTGTGCACCAGGGGGACACAGCAAAGGAAGCACGCAGGCAATAGGACAGCTTACAGATACTTAATCCTCAGATCTATTCCAAAAAGATCTAACGTGTCTCTCTGGCTGCATTGATTCTGAAACCTCCAGGAATAATTCCCAGGTTTGTCTTGGAGATTCAAGCCAACGAATGAGAGTTATCATGGATGTTGAAGTCCACCAGGACAATAAATGTTGAAAAGGCCAATGCAAGACCAAAAGAGACTCATTTAAACTGGGTAGGACTCATGATGTGAGAGTCTGTACACTACAAGGATTCCCAAATGTATCTTATCCCCAGGATCAACAACCAGATTGATACAATCAAATAATTTCATTTCTGGGAGGGGAAACCTATGCCTGCAGAGTCAAAGTGTCTTCTCGACATCAACTAGCACCGATGACTATTAAATCTTTTTACTGCTAGGGTCCTGCGAATTTAGTGTCTATTAGCTTATCTCAGAAACTTTGACTATCTTGTAAACTACTTTGCATCCTTCCAAATCACATCACTTGCCACCATACAGGTCAGTTCATCAGTGTGTTTAAATGAAAGTCAAACACTTTAAAAAGGGAAGCTAGTGATAAGCTATAAAGTTACAAACCAATTGCTCCAGGCAATCCAGGCAATCCAGACATTCCCTTAGCGCCTTTGGGACCTGTCATTCCTTGTGGTCCATATCCTGGTGGTCCAGTGAGCCCCATTTCTCCAGGAAGACCTGGGTTACCAGGCAATCCTGATAACCCTCTGTCCCCTTTCGAACCATCCAGTCCCTATTAATAATTAGACACATTTGCATAGTGTGCATTGCTTATTTTTCCGTGTTAGTTCCAGCAGCAACAAGTTTTGATACATTGGACTGATTATGATCTTACACTATTTTAACAAAAGAGTAACTCAATCATCTTAAGCAAAGTACTGCTGACTTGCATAGTGTGAGACACAAAATTATCTGTTTATTGTATCCTTATCTAATCCTGTGCCTTTGTGAGATCCTAAAAGAAAATGCAATAGTACTGCAAGAATACAGGAGGGATTTGCCCATTCTGGGATACTGCCTTCTGATCCTCCCAGGGAACCTACTTCTTCCAATCCAAATTCTTAGAGACATTCCAGCAGCTAAAACTAATGAATAGGACCTTTCATGTTCCAATTTATGTATATGTAACATAGACCACAAAAATGATTTGATCAATGCTTTGATTTGACTAAATTTGCCCATGTATAATGGAAGCTGCCCACACAATTCCATGCAAATTGCAAATAAGTAAGTGTAATCAAGCTTTACCACTTTGCCACCATTTTAAGCCTCACAGAAAACATCAGACAAAAATAAAAATTTCTGTCCTATGGGAAATTCTGATATTTTAATATTTTTGTCCAAATTGGGATGAAAAATTGAAATATCAACATTTTTTGCAGAACAAAAAGTGATGACAAAGTTTGATTCCCCTAACCCTTGTAGCTACAGATAATTAGCGTCAATGCCTAGATATCTTTGATGAGTATACATTTTAAGACCAGAGGGGACCATTTGATTATCTCATCTAAACTCCTGCAAAACATACACCATAGAATATTACCCAGTAACTCCTGCATCAAGACTATATCCTGTGGTTAGGTTAGAGAAGTGGTTCTCAACCTTTTTCTTTCTGAAGCCCACCCAACATGCTATAAAATCTCCATGGCCTACTTGGGCCACAATAATTGGTTTTCTGCATATAAAAGCCAGGGCTGGCATTGGGGGATAGTAAGCAGGGCAATTGCCAAGGGGCCCTGCAAAGCTACACTGCTCAGGCTTTGGCTTCAGCCCTGGGTAGTGGGGCTCAGGGCCCCAGGCGTCAGACCCATGCAGTGGGACTTTGGCTTTCTGCCTTGGGCCCAAGTGAGTCTAATGCTGGCCCTGCTTGGCGGACCCCCTGAAACCTGCTCGCTGCCCCCTAGGGGGTCCTGGACCCCTTGTTGAGAACCACTGGATTAGAGCTATCTTTACAGATGTTACAGTGTTTTAATTCTAATGAATAGGGCTGTGAAATGTATAATTATTTACTTAGCTTTCTATTAATTCTAAAATAATTGAAAATAATGTATACCAACCCTTTCGCCTTTAGGACCTTTTGAGCCTTTTGAACCATGTTTTTTGTGCAATCCATCTGAACCTTTCCTCCCTGGATTTCCTCTGATCCCTGGATCTCCTCTGTTTCCTTTTTGCCCTTCTGGATACACATATCCCGGTTCACCGTTTGGCCCTTTCAGTCCTTGATCTCCTGGAAAACCTGGAAGTCCCTAGGACACAGCAGTTAAGAATTTCCATGTTAGATTTATGTCAAGTAGTTTTTTTATATCAACACTAAATGACTAAGTTTCTTTCTTCCTTAGGCAATTCTTTAGAGGGTCCCAGGATTTTAATTTAATTTTGTCTTCACTAATTTCACTAGTCAAATAAGAATTATTATTTTCATTTGCTTGTTGTCCCTGAGGCTGATAATTTAAGTTAGGGGGTCAGATCCTTGGCCCTGCTCCTTCCCCTTTGCACTGCTTTGGTGGTGGAAAGGGATGACAGAAAGATGGCTTAAACCACTAAGGGTATGTCTACACTACCCACTGGATCGGCGGGCATCTATCGATCCAGCCGAGATCAATTTATCGCATCTAGACGCGATAAATTGACCCCTGAGCCCTCTCCCGTAGACTCCTGTACTCCAGCGCTGCGAGAGGCGCAGGCAGAGTCGACGGGGGAGCAGCAGCAGTCGATTCACTGCGGTGAAGACACCACAGTAAGTCGATCTAAGTATGTCAACTTCAGCTACGTTATTCACATAGCTGAAGTTGTGTAACTTAGATCGACTCCACCTGCCCCCCCCCCCAGTGTAGATCAGGGCTAAGATGGGAATTTCCTGTTGCATGCTAATGCTGACACAGATGGCTCTATGTCACCCACTACGGGTCCACCAGTGTAGGGGACATTTGGGGATTGAAGCACACTTTACTCCGGTGATCCTGGGCTGTTGAACTGATGATTGTAAGCTCTTTGGGACAGAGATGATCAATTTGTTCTGTGTTATACTTAGGGCCCTACCAAATTCATGGTACATTTTGGTTGATTTCATAGTAATAGGATTTTAAAAATCGTCAGTTTCATGATTTCAGCTATTTAAATCTGAAATTTCATGGTGTTGTACTTGTTGGGGTCCTGACCCAAAAAGGAGTTGTGTGTGTGTGTGTGTGGGGGGGGGTTTCAAGGGGATGTGTGTGATACTGCTACCCTTACTTCTACGCTGCCTTCAGAGCTTGGTGGCTGGAGAGCGGTGGCTGGTGGCTGGGAGCCCAGCTATGAAGGCAGAGTTGCCGTCAGCAGCAGCACAGAAGTAAGGATGGCGTGATATGGTATTGCCAACCTTACATCTGTACTGCTGCAGGCGGGGCACTGCCTTCAGAGCTGGGTGCATGGCCAACAGCCACTGCTCTCAGCCACCCAGCTCTGAAGGCAGCACAGAAGTAAGGATGTCAATACCCTGACCCCACTAAAATAACCTTGTGACCCCCTGCAACTTCCTTTTGGGTCAGGGCCCCTAATTTGAGAAATGGTGGTCTCCCCTGTGAAATCTGTATGATATAGGGTAAAAACACACAAAAGACCAGATGTCATCGGAGGAGACCAGATTTCACGACCCGTGACGCGTTTTTCATGGCTGTGAATTTGGTAGGGCCCTAGTTATACTGAGTTATAAGGAGTCCTGGTCTATGACTGGGGCTCCTGGGCAGTATTGTAATATGTCTAATAATAAAATAATATTAATTAATTAATAGGGAGCCACTACTGCTGGTGCAAGTTGAAGCAGACACAAGGAAGATCCCTTAAAGATGCTTTGAGGGAATCTTTGTCTCTTGCCCCAGCCAATGGAGCTAGGGTTTTACACCCTCTCAAAGGGCAGCATAAAGCTAGCTTCTCCCACACTCCCTGGGGCTTGAGGAGCCACTGTGCCTCCTTGAGGAAACAAAGCATCCCAGAATTCCTAAGAATCAGAGCTGCCCTTAGCGTTTTGGGGTGGGCCAGTCAAACATTTCCAGTGCTTTGTAGGGGAAATGGAACCCCATGGCTTGCACTGGGGTCTAGGGATAATCACCAGCATTAAGAATAGGTTTATAAAGGGCAATTATCTGAATAAATATGCGGTTTGGAGTGTATGTAGTGAATTTTAACATATACACACACTTTAAACACTAACTAATTAGTCTCCACAACCACCTTTGACTGTGAGATAGGTATCATTGTCATTACCATCTTTATTTCACAGCTGAGGACACTAAGATAGAGAGATTTGACTAAGATTACAGAGGAAGTCTGAGTCAAGCCTAAATTTGAACACAGGAGGCTCTTGCTCTTAGTTCCCTTTAAAATTCAATAGGTTATACTGCCTCTCACATTACCTAGATAAGTCATTATAGCCTCTGGTAATGGGTTTCAGGAGATGGCCTATAGGTGGCCAGCTAGGAGAGGAGCATATAACAGACATAGTACCATGAGTGACAATGTGGGCAGCATTGCCCATATAAACATGCACTGATCTGGAGAACTTCTAAAAATCAAAGGACCAGTGAGCATGTATTTCATGAAGCTCAATGGCCACCCCAGGCATTGTAGTATTCATGGTGATGTGTATTTCCTTGTGATATTCAGGAAAAATGTATGTTACATTTTCCACCCTAGTGATTGGTTTACACTGGTTCATATTTTTGAGGATATCTTTACAAGGAAAAAAGCTAAAGCACATTTTTTCCACACCCCTCCCCATTTTTTAATTAAAACTGAAATTAGCCCTAATTCTAGACTCTGAAAGTACCACCTTCCTGGAACCATCAAGCTAAAATAGTAACAGTATATCCTGCATATGGCAATAAAACTAGACACCACGATTCTCATCTAACGAAAATTCAATATTGCAACTGAAAGATCCATTTAATTTAAATCTTACTTGAGGACCTGAAGGCCCTTGTGCCCCTGGAGAACCTCGAGATCCTTTGGGACCACTTATTCCTTGTCTACCTGTGACAGGTGAAAGATAAATCAGTTTTTCATTCCTTTGACAGGCTCTGGTACTAACATACAATACAGAGAATTGCTGCCTTTCGGATACAACACAATTCAACAAACTGCCTTGGAAGAGACATTGGTAAATGGCTGGCTGGTGGGTGTATAAAGAAATCCCTCCGGTATACTTGTTATTTTGGAATTTCTTCCTCCCCATTATTAATTTCCTAGAAAAATTACAATACAGGCTCCCTACTAAAGGTTTCCTAGGTAAATGTTTTCCTTGCCAGAAAAACATTTTCATGTATTGACAACTTCCCTGAGTTTCTCACTCCCTGATACTGAATTAATTCCATATAGGGGGGAGGGATAGCTCAGTGGTTTGAGCATTGGCCTGCTAAACCCAGGGTTGTGAGTTCAATCCTTGAGGGGGCCACTTGGGGGATCTGGGGCAAAATCAGTACTTGGTCCTGCTAGTGAAGGCAGGGGGCTGGACTCGATGACCTTTCAAGATCCCTTCCAGTTCTAGGAGATGGGATATCTCCATTAATTATTACTTCCCCAGTGTTCTCAAGGAATTGAACTCCTTCAAGATGCAATACTCTTCCTCCTGGGGTAGTTTCCTTCTAATTGTTCCACTGGAGAAATTGTGTGCGTGACGGTGGCGAGCAGGGAGTTCACCCTCTGTGAGATTAAAAGGACTGGAGTTTGCCCCCCTAAATCAGCAGGTTATTCTAAAACCGAAAGGCTCCATATTCAGCTCCAATCTGTAGCGTATTCATAGAATCTAAAGCCAGAAGGAACCACTGTGATCATCTAGTCTGACCTCCTGTATAGTACAGTCCACAGAACTTCCCCAAATTAATTCCTAGAGCAGGTCTTTTAGAAAAACATCCAATCTTGATTTAAAAATTGTCAGTCATAGAGAATCCACCATGACACTTGGTAAATTTATTTACAGCTGCCTTAACTTTACCTTTAAATCAGGTTTGTTTTTTAACCAGCAGAGCCTTCTTCCTCAATTGTGGCTTTTGGGGCATCTAGTAAAGCAGGGGTGGGCAAACTTTTTGGCCCTAGGGCCACATCGGGTACAGAAATTGTATGGAGGGCCGGGTAGGGAAGTCTGGGGGAGGCTATGTCTCCCCAAACAGTGAGGTGTGGCCTGGCCCCCGTCCCCTATCCAGTCCCCTGGAACTCCCACCCCCATCCAACCCCACCCTTGACTGCCCCCCGGGACTCCCAAATCCTATCAAAACATCCCATCTCTCTGCCCCGACCGTCCCCTGGGGCACCCGTCCCCTATCCAATCCCCCCTGCTCCCTACCCTCTGACCACCCCCGGGACCCCCACCCCTATCCAATCTTCCCTGCTCCCCACCCCCTGACCTCCCCCCTGACCTCCCCCTTGGGGTCCCCCCACCCTCTATCCAATCCTCCCTGCTCTCCCCACCCCACGTTACCTGTGGGGTGGGGGAAAGGGCAGCTCCATCCTTTCCTTGTGCATTTCCCCTGCTCATTTGGCTGCTCTCCCTGGCAGTCAGGCAGAGCTCGCTCCCTGTCTGGGCTTGGCTGCTGGGGACAGGAGCCAAGCATGCTGGGGATAGAGGGAGGCCATGGCTTGCTCTGGCCCTGTTCCCGGCAGCAGGGCTCAGGCCCCTTGACTGCCCCCCTGCAACTCGCCCTGCTCCCCGCCCCCACCCCCCGGAACTCTCCCCGCCCCCCACTCCCTGAAGCACCAGGTCTGGTGGCGCTATAGCTGTGCCGCCCGGCCGGAGCTGCAGCCATGGAGTTGGGCTGGCTCTTCGCAAGCCTGTCCTAACCCTGCTCCCTGACAGGAGCTCGGGTCCCATTTTTTTTTACAGGGGAGCCAAGAAATCTGCAGAAGGTATGATTTCGACACAGAATTCCCCCAGGAGTAATACATAAGCTACCATTAACTTTTAGTTGTGTGATCAGTTCAGCTTTATCTATTAAGACAAGGTCTAATAAGGAATTCCCCATGTGTTGGCTGCATCGCTTTATTAGGAAATTGTTATCTATAATGTTTAGAAATTCAAAGGATGTTTTAGTACTAGCAGCATAAGACCTCCAGCATATGTCACTCAAATGGAAGTCCCCCATGATCACACAGTTTCCCCCCATAAACATTATAGATGGGTGTGTAAGGAGGCAGTCATCTTGTTCCCTAGTGTGATTTGTTGGTCTGTAGCAGACACCAATAACCCATCTTGTGCTTTATCTCTTAGAACAGTGGTTCTCAACCAGGGGTCGGGGGGAGTTGCAAGCAGGTTTCAGAGGGTCCAAGCAGGGCCAGCATTAGACTCGCTGGGGCCAGGGCAGAAAGCCAAAGCACCACTGCATGGGGCTGAAGCCTATGGCCCTGAGCCCTGCCATCTGGGGCTGAAGCCAAAGCCTGAGCAACGTAGCTTTGTGGAGGCCCCTGTGGCATGGGGCCCCAGGCAACTGCCCTGCTTACTATCCCCTAATGCTGGCCCTGGCTTTTATATGCAGAAAACCAGTTGTTGTGGCACAGATGGGCCGTGGAGTTTTTACAGCGGGGCGGGGGGAGGGAGGGGAAGAGGGGGCTCAGAAAGAAAAAGGTTGAGAACCCCTGTGTTAGGACATTGATCCATAAGCATGAAAGTTCATTTTCTTCTGTGTTAAGAGTGACTCGGAAACAGGTAATGACAGAGTGCCACTCCCCTTCCCTTTTTCCCCACGCAATCCTTCCTAAATAGGTTATAACCATTGATGTTAACATTCCAATCGTGCGAATCATCCCACCAGGTTTCAGTGATACCACCTAAATCAAATGTATGCTCATAAATGAACAATTCCAATTCCTCTTGTTTGTTACCAGGCTGCTGGCATTAGTGTACAGTATAGGCAATTGAAGAAGTCTTGTTTTCATGTTCTCTGGTTTCTTGATTAATTTTGTAGTCAACATCTCAGTTTTCTGCTGAGTGCTCATATCCTTCCTCTTTTTTTACCTTCTCCTTTTGCTCTCAGTGTAACCCCTCCTGACTACCTTAGCCAACCTGTCCCCAAGGAGATAGCCTCCATCTCCATAGCAGGGGAACCAATCTAAACTGTACAGCCCCCTCTTCCCATAGAAAGTGGACTAGTGGGCCACAAAATCAAAGCCCTCCATCCTGGATATCCAGTCCCTGGCCCCAAACCTCCAGTTTCAGACAGTTTTGAGTATTGATTAAAAGAAGCATCTCACTGTAATTGAGTCAATGCTGTTGGATTTGTGCAGCTAAAGATGGTGCATGAAGAAACATTGGCATTTCCCAATAACAATTTAGTAAAGCCAAGATATTTTACCAGTAACTCCTTCTTGACCATCTTGCCCAGGAGCACCAGGAAGTCCAGGTCCTCCTGGTATATAACTGCATTGATTACAAGGACTTGCTTCTTCACCTGGAACAAAATTATACCTTCATTAATTGTTATAGTGGCAAATTACTTTTGTGTTCAATGAATAGCTTGCATCAGGCCCGCTCAACTACCTAACGTATCTCCTGGGTTAAAGAGGTGTGAAAACACTGGGAATACAGCTTCATTTTAATCATTAATCATCAATAATCAAGGATTTACAGATCCTTTTAAACACAGCCTGGTTTATCTCTTGGCACCAGAGCCTACAGCATTATCAATTAAAAGACAGGATCACTCAGTTTCAATAGCCTGGTTTTTGTTCTCTATTTTAGTATTCTGCTGAGAAACACTCATAAGCCAAATCCTGTAAAGCAGGAGGAAAGCATGCCCAGGCCTTTAACTCCTATGCATGGTGGCTCCACAATAGGCTGGCTGACCCTAGAAGTTGTCATCTTGAGCATGTTGGACAATACAGAGCTGCAGTAGTCCCTGTGGTGCAATCTGCAGGGGGACACAGAGTGGCTCAGGCGTGGGGACCTCATTTCCAGCCTCCTCTCTCACATGGCATTGTGGGCGGGAAGAGGTGAGGATTGTGGGAGTGTGTGACTCTCCCTTCCCCAGACTGTCCTGAGTGGAATTACCCTTTGTCCCACTGGAGCAGTTATCTGGCTCCAGTATCTTGGCAGTGCAAGGGGGAACTTGGCCCTCTTGCTGTTTCCACACACACACAAAAAAGACACGGAGAAGTCCCGCTAACACAAATTAATTCATTAATTAATTTCTGATTGATAATTCCCAAGGAGTAGCCAGAATCAGCATAATAATTTTTAATCCATCTACATATCTCGTTTTTTAGCTGAAAAGAAAGAATCAGTTCATGTCAATTATAACACGGCCCAATCCTGATCTCACACGTGTGGGTGTATTGTAGAAACCCTAATGCACTCAGTGGAGTTACACTGACATGAAAATGAGGCACAGCAGAATTGGATCCAATTATTTAGTCTGACAAACAGTAGAATGATCACATTCAGCTCTGTATTGAATCTTGACTGAATCTGATTTTTCAGCTCAGTTGCTGTTTTCTGTAAGTTACAGCAGCTTTCCTGAACATGGAACAGTTTGTTGTTTGATAGAAAGGTTAAATGAAATTTCTGTATCTTGTTTCTCCATCTGAATCAATAGTAAATTAATTCTAGGAACATATTTATAAATACACACACACACACACACACACACACACACACACACACACACACACACACACACACGTAT